CAGGAGTGCTTAGAAGGTTACTGAGGACGTTATTATATATTCTTTAGGGAGCTTGTCTTGGATAATTGTTGAGGATGAGACATCATGGCTGTGGATAAGCTGGAAGTCTGTCTTATGGAGTAGGGGCTTCCATCATTTCTAGAGATCCTTGGGACACTTAGAGCTTGATCCATACTCACAGCTTCAGCATGAGATAAACCCCTTATTATCTCTACCTCAACAAAAGCTCATGAGAAAGGAGGGATAGACTAGCCCATAAACTCAAAGAGAGTTTCCAAATAATTATCCTGACAGTTGAACCAGTGTTCATTCTCATTCCTCATTCACTCATTCACACTGTATACGTGGAGAACCTCCTGAGTGAGAATCATTCAGTTGAATCTTTTTAATGGTCTTCTATCTTTTTTTGGGTTATGGGTTCTTCTGTGTATTGACCCATCCTTTTACCTTTATGTTGATGGCAAAAATTCCCTTTCTACTTTTTCTTTACCTATATTTTTCTTCCAACTTTAGGATATTTTTGAACATGTAACAGAAGTATGTTGGTATTCTCAAGTTTTCTGAGAAGAAAACATGTGCTTTTATCCTCACAAAAACCATGGAATATAATACTCTCCATCTTACACTGGAGGATGCTTAGCCTGAGAATAAATAACTCATCCTACATAATGGGCATCATATTTAAATATGGAAGCTAGAGCTCTTTAACTATTTTTTTTAGATTTTATTTATTTATTTGAGAGAGAAAGAGAGCACAGAGGGAGAGAGAGAGGGAGAAGCGGGCTCCACAGTGCAGGGCTGGACCCAGGGCCCTGGGATCATGACCTAAGCCAAAGGCAGACACTTAACTGACTGAGCCACACAGGCGCCCCCAGAGCTCTTTAACTATTAAGCTCATATTCTTACTATTATAGGGTAATGACTTGTATAAAAATGAGATAAACAATAAAAGGCACATAAAGATAAATTGGATTATAAGATTTAAAAAATTTCAATAACTGATATTTGTTTAGTTTTGCTTTACTTACTTAAGGCTAGGACAAGTGAAGAAATAACTCATTTTCTTCACATCTTTATTTACCAATGTGTCCTTTATGTTTAACCTAAAAATAAACTTTTTATACAACATTAATGATTATAAGAAAATATTCACAAATTGTCCTCCAAAAATCACAAAAGTTTTACAATGTACTTATGAAAGTACATGGAGACTTCTTGACACATAGCTTTCAAAACATTTCTCAAAATACTGTGAGTAAAAATTGTTACTTTGATCTCTTTTATGTTAATCTAATCCATAAGAAAACTGATCTTTCTAGGTAAGCTAAATTTTTTGCAAGTAACATGGAATTTTATGTCTGATTATTTTTGAAACTCTGTTATTTCTTCTCTTTTATAAGAACATTTAAGCAAATGATATTAGGAAAATGATGATAAAATACTATTTTTGCTAAATATTTACTTATAAATTATCAGTCATATCAAATTGTTTCATGCTTTAGATCTCTGATAATTATGTCAAAAATTGTATATATACAACTTACTTTTGTAAAATGAAATGTTTTTTAAAATCTATGGACTAAAATGCTTTAACTTGCTGGGTATTTTCATTATTATACTAAGATTATTTTTCAGTAGAGTTTTATTTATTTATTTATTTATTTTTGTTATTTAGATTATGCAATTAAAAGTGTACAATTGTCAACTCTCAAAAACAACTATAAATTGAGGAACTGTTCAATAAAACAACAGGTGAGGAATTTGAAATTAGAGGAACAAAGACAACATTCCACAAATACATTTTGAAAACTGCTTAATATAATGCTGATGTCTGTGATTTACTTCAAAATGTGTCAAGATAGGATGGATTGATGGACAGATAAAGGAATGGGTACATAGAAATGTGATAAAGAAGTATAGTGAAATGTGAATCGTAGAATTTAGGTAGTGTGTAGAGGGCCTTTACTGTAAATTATTTAAAGTATGCTGTATACGTGAAATTTTTCATAATAAAATGTTGACAAAAGTGCTTACCATCCTCAACTGTAAAATAATGATGTAGTGTAATTTAAGAAATTATTATTTCTTGCTCCCAGGCAAACATCAGGCTAGGTCTTAGGAATATGGTGTTGTAAGACATATTTTTTTGTGTTTAAAAGTTCTTGATTCAGTGGAGGAAACATGCTAGTGAACAATTTCCATGCAGGATGGTTACCAATGTTATGGTATACATAAATTTAGAAGAGTTCTATAATATACAGACATGTTTCTGTCCCTGTTTTGGAGACAGAGACTCAGGGCAAACTTTACACACTGAAATTTTAAAAATTAATAAAATTAATAAGACACAGAAAATATCCCAGGCATTTAATAAATGACACAAATGGGTTATGGTTATAAACTTGAATTTTTTAAATGTGGGAAGGACACCAAGCTTATATATGTTAATCATCTTCACTAACTTCTCTCTTAATAATAAAAGTTGTTGCTTTTGGATATTTTCTTAGTCATTATGCTAGATTCCTGAATAATAAAATCATTCATCAGTGATTTTTGTGGTGTCTTCTACATTCCAGGCACTGGGGATATTTATTTCTATACTCTCCTTGAAGAGTAGCAATTATTGCTCAAGGTAGTAATGGTAAAGAAGAGATTTTTAACTCAAGGCTATGTGATTCCAATTTTCCTTCCACTGTATCATGTTGCCTAGTCCCTTATTTTAAAAAAGTATTCTAACAGAGGAAATGTTGAATCCTCAAATGACATCAATTTCAATCATAAGCCATCCTTATGATACATAAGTCCAATAAGTCCAATAATGTGATACATGCTGGCATTCTTCTTGATGTTCTCCTGTGATGGTACTTTTTATTATTGCTTACAAGTTGCAATTATAAATACCAATTGTGCTAGTTTTAATTTTTACAGTTTTTATGTCAGCAGTGGTGATACACACCAGTATGGCCAAACAATGCTACAGAACTGATTAGTTAGTCTCATCTGTGTTAAATAGTCTCCATATTTAATTTGGTATTTTCAATGTTACCCTTAGAGGTATCATTATCCTTCATTCTACAGAAGGAGATGTTGACTTTAAAGAAGTTCTGTAACTCACCAATGGTCATATTCTGTTATTTTTATCTGCTCTTTCTCCTATCCAAAAATTACAGTCTATAAGTTTAAGAAAGACATTCAGTGAATTTTCTGAAACTAGTTCTTAATGAATGGATTTATGAAATATTGCTTAAAACACTATAACAAGAATGAGTAATATTTAGAAGCTGAGGGGTAACTAATAACCAGCAAAGCTAAGTAGGTATAATTAGCTTTATATACAACATATGCTACATAGAATTAAAGTCTAAATATTATAGTTAGTCATTGCATTGCGTTTCTTTTTTTGCTTCATGTTGTCAACTAAGGGTTTTTTAGAACATTAAAAAGAATTAGAAGAGCAGTGATGTATCAAATGCTATACTGCTATCACCAGCTAGTGGTTGAGTTTCCACATTAGCCAAAATATAGAACTGAAAATATTAACATCATTCACCATTATTAGAATATGGTGATGCATTTTTTGATGGTAATACTAAGAATCGATCTAAAGAGCAATGTGAGTGGCCGGCACAAAGGAAACGATCAACCAATCGTAGCCAGAGGGGAAAAGAGGAGCTGTAGCAAGAGATGGAAAAAAGGCAGCTCCATTGATACATCTATATTTAGGGAAGAGGCAATGATGGAAATGTAGAATTGAAAATTATGAAGCAAGTTAAATAAAGGGAGTGGGTGAAGTTATGATGGTATTTGTCTAAACTGACAGGAGACAAATATAAGGCAAGACCATGTGTAACACCAATGCTTTAGAGAAATGCAGCAGGAAAAGAGCCAGCAGAAAAGGACTATATCCACAGTTCCCTCTTTAAACAACCTACAGACTAGGCAGAGTAGTTAGGCAACTCCAAAGATAAACATAAGACAGAAATGGGGTATCCACAGAGAAATTCAAACAAAAAGTCATGGAGAAAAGTTAAGGGACAAGCATGAGCAGATATATAAGGTAAGAAAGAAGTCATCTTGTTAAAGAATGAGAGGATCTGATGTGGATACAAAGCAGTGTTACAGGAGATGTGTACTAGCATGTCAGAGAGGGTCATTCCTTGGAATGTTTTGTCTCTCAGACTGACCTCCCCACCTGAATTTCATAGGTATAGGAATGTAACAAAATTATGCTAATTTTAATCCATAGTTGAAAAATTGTATATGGGTTTGCATTTCCATATGATTAATTTTTCACCTTGGTGTTTGTTATTTATCCTTTCCTCCACACTGTAATAATATATTTATAATTTCCTCTACCCCAAACATTATTATTGTGAATTTCATTGTAGAGTAATTGAAATAATTTAAATTTTGAATATATAAAATATATGTATTAATAAAAATAAAGGTAGTGAATCTTTCTGATGAGTTTAAAACAACACAGTTAATGTATTTCAGAATACTGAAAATCTGCATGAGCAAAGCAAAAAATCATTCATTTATTCATTTTATTAATATATAATAACATGAGGAAAACATGAATTGATTTAAAGAATATTTTTCTTCAGGAATTTGTATTCCTATTCAAAGAGGGAATAGATAATGGTAAAATACAGTCAGAGTTTTTATTTTATTTTAAATTATTATTTAAATGTGAAACCACGACTCTTTTGGTTCCCAGAATGTTACCTTACTGTGACACAAATGCAGTTCATAAGAAATTAAAACTAAGAAATGCGATTAGCTCTGTCTAACTTATTTTGAGTTATGCCTTTCAGAAATTTTGCCACTTAAATCTCAAAATGATTTTGTTCTTTTGGCCATGAGGGCTATACCAAAGTAAACAGATAATGTGTGTTTTTGCTCTTTTGGTTCTGCAAAATATTCTCCCCTTTGCATCTTAATGGCATTAATGTAGTTGGTTTATATGATGATGGTTTATGTGATGAATTTGGATTTACCTTAGCTTCAATCTGCTTAGTATCTGGATTCTGAAACAAAAATTTGATTTTGCTCTTGCCATCATCTGAAGAACCCTTAAGCTGAGAAAACTTATACCTCCAAAGTATAGCCTAAAGGGGGAAAAAAAGAAACATATTCAATTAATATCTACATTCAAACCAAGAAATAGTCCTCTTTTAAGTGGTAAAAGCTAATCATATTAAATTAGTACTATATCCCAGGATTAAAAAGTAATTAAAATATGTTTATCAAAGGCTATAACTTAGTATTCAATATATCTTTTAGTTTCCAGAAATAACTTCAGTACCCATGAAATAATTATTTCAAAAAATATATGCAAAGAAATCAATTTGATTATCCTGCTTTATATTAATATGAAATAAAAATAAGCTCACTTAAAGCATATGTCTGTTACTGAATAAGCAAAAACACTTATTGTTTCTTTTTTCTATTAATAGAAGTGGTAAGGTGATTTTGAATTGATAATTCTATAGATATTCTGTAGTACTTTCTCTTAAAGCTCAAACTAATAATCTGTAGCTTTGTCAAGATAAAAGATCAGTCTTAGTAAATAATTATGACAAAAAAATTATATGGTATCCTCACGAGACTGAACCAGAGTAAGTATTTTACAGAACTAGCCCATCAATCTATAATATCTCAGTCAATAGGATTATTTGACTAAAAGCCATCTTCCAATATTGCAGGGGCAAGTTTAGATAGTATAAAATCTATGAAAGAACCAAACGTTAGTTACAACATGACCATACACTTACTGTTTGAATATATAGTGAGAAAAATTAAGAACCTGGTACAGAGAATTCTTATCACACAGCTTACTCTATTTTAATATCTCACGTAATATGGTACATTGTCACACTTAATGAACCAATATTGGCACATTAGTATTAACTAGAGTCCATTGTTTATGCATTTTTTCTTGTTTTAATCTAATGCCTTTTTCTGGTACAGGACTCTACCCAGGATACTACATTACATTTATTCATTGTGTCTTCAGCTCTACTTGTCTGTGACAGTTTCTCAGATCCTTGTCAGACTGTCTTTGACAATTTGAGGAGTACTGGTTAAGTATTTTGCAGAATGCCCCCTACTGGAATTTGTCTGATGTATTTCTCATAACTAGATGGGCTAAAGATTTTTAGAAATGACATAAGACCCTATCATTTTTGACAATAATCCCAGTGTATATTTCTGAGAGGTTTCCATTTAAGATATGTTATTATAGTAGATTGTGATGTATGTGTTTATCAAACTTCATCAGGTGGTCTTAACATGATTCAATAATTCATTTAAATAGAAAGCTATGTGAAAAAAAGCATGGTTTTACATATGAATTCCATTTTTATATTATTTACTAAAGTATTTAATAATATTTTGCATGTTTTCAACCTTTTAAAATTTATTACCATTTTTTTGTATTCTTATATATGGTCTATTCTGGAGAATGTTCCATGTGCACTTGAAAAAAATGCATATTCTGTTCTGGTTGGGTGGAGTATTCTATGTATGTCTGTTAGATATAGTTAGTTATAGTTTTGTTCAGGTTCTATATTTCTTTATTGGTCTTCTGTCTGATTATTCATTCCATTATTGAAAGTGGAGTATCTAAACTTCCAACTATTATTATAGAATTGTCTATTTCTCCTTGCATGTGGATCCAGAGTTTAGCAAAGCCACTGCTTTGCTGCCTCAGCATCCATTTAGTTTGGCCAAGTGGCCTATAGGACCTTAAACTGACATAAGCCCCCTTGTGCAAGTGGATGCCCTATATAGCAGTCACAGAGTCACAAACATGTAAGTTCCCGATAGGACTCCCCAACAGCCCTTCTGATCAATAGAATCCCTTGTCTCTCAGGGTCTGTATGCCTTGGGCACCACTTAGAAAAGAATCCCATGCAGCTTACCAAAACCTTGCTCTTTGAGTATGAATTTTCCAGCCCAGCTTAGCTCAGGAACTCCCCAAGCACTCCACCCATGGATCATTAAAAAGGCATGCACCCCAGGTCCTGTCTCACTGTCTGTACTGTGCTTTGACAACCCCATGTGGCTCCTCAAGGCATTTCATGTTCTTCCTCCAGGACCTGTGAGTAATAAACTTCTGTATTTCAATTTCTCTTGTGGTCTGTTGTGGAACTGTGGCTCACCATCTGGCACCCTGTGCTTTACCTAACAAATGTTAATTTAACAAAGTCATAACACTCCAATTATCTCAATGTTTAATATATTTTGGGGCCCTGATGCTTATAAGTTTATAATTGTTAAATTTTCTTTTTGAATTAATCCTTTTATCAATATATAATACTCTTCTTTGTCTCCTGTAACAGTAACATAAAATCTATTCTTTTTTAAAAAACTTATTTATTTCAGAGAGAGAGACAGAGATACAGATCGAGTAGGGGGAGGGGCAGAAGGAGAGAAGCAGACTCCCCAGTTAGCGTGTAGCATGATGTGGGGCTCCATCTCACAACCCTAAGATTATGACCCTGAGATCATGACCTGAGCCAAAATCAAGAGTCAGACACTTAACTGACTCAGCCATCCAGTTTCCTAGACATAAAATCTATTCTTATATTGGTTTAGCCACTGGCTCTCTTCTGGTTACTATTTGTATGGAATATCTTCTCACATCGTTTTTATTTTTTTTCTTTTCTTTTTTAAAGATTTTACTTATTTGACAGAGCGAGCACAAGCAGAGGGAGAGAGAGAAGCAGGCTCCCCGCTGAGCAAGGAGCCCGATGTGGGACTCGATCCTGGGACCCTGGGATCATGACCCACGCCAAAGGAAGCCGCTTAATTGACTGAGCCACCCAGGCGTCCCATCACATCGTTTTTATTTTAACCCACTTGGGTCTTTAGAGCTAAAGTTAGCCTCTTGCAGACAGCATATATTTGTATCATGTTTTTTTTAATCTATTCTGTAGTGAAGAGAAAATGGCAGTTAGTGCTTAATGATAACAGAGTTTCTGTCTGGGGTGATGACAGGTTTTGGAAACAGTGTGAATCAATTAATGCCACAAAATCATACCTTAAAAATGGCTAAAATGGGAAATTTTATATTATTTTAACACATTAGGAACAAAACTTTAAAAAAATCATTCTGGAAGCAATGTATCTCCAAAATCCACTCAAAGCAAATGCTAATTAAAAAGTTCACACTTTAGGGCGCCTGGGTGGCTCAGTTGATTAGGCGACTGCCTTCGGCTCAGGTCATAATCCTGGAGTCCCTGGATCGAGTCCCGCATCGGGCTCCCTGCTCCGCGGGGGGTCTACTTCTCCCTCTGGCCCTCCCCCCTCTCATGTGCTCTCTCTCATTCTCTCTCTCTCAAATAAATAAATAAAAAATCTTAAAAAAAAAGTTCACACTTTAAAAGGTATAATGAAATAATGAAATGGCAAAATCATAAATTCCTTAAAAATAAGGATGAGAAAATTATCAGTAATAATGACACATAATGCATTTATACAGAATATTCCTGACTCTTTATCTACTTATTCACCAAACATTTTTGAAATGGCTACCATATCTTAAGCATTTTGCTAGATTTAGATAAAAAAGACACTGTCACCATCCCAAAGACATTAATTTCTGAACAAGTAAATGCTTTTGCTTTCATTCTTACTATGAGAGTATACAATTTATAAGGAAGCAATATCCAATATTATAAATTGTCTAAAATGTTTCTTTAGATCTATTACTATACAGAATCTTCTAACAATAAAATTTCCTGGGACAATTAACTTTCTGGAAAAAAGAATACAAGTTAAACTTTAACTCACAACTTCCCCTAAATAAAATTCCTTATGTTTTAAAAAGTGAAATAATTTAAATAAGCCAAATTATAGGAAATCTACATAATGTAAGTGAATAGTGAATAACTTTGAAAAGAAGGAGTTCTAGACTTGAGTAACAAAAAATTATATACTCATATGTACAAGTAATGTATATTTATCAAAATGAAAAGCAATAAACTTAGTGGCATATAGGATATATGGTATAGTGTAAGGACAATTCTAAACATATAAGAAATAAAAAGGCAAATAATATTATAGAGAAGTCATTCAAAAAAGTAGAAAAACAATTATTTTTAATAATTATAAGAGCATGTTCAATTTCACTAGAAATAGTGTAATAATATTAAAATGACAGCTTTGCCAAACGTTTAGTAAAAATCACTGAAAATTATAACTAAAGCTAGCAAGTTTATGTTGAAACAAATATTTGCAGAAAATTGTTAGCAATAGTGTGAATTCTTTAGGATAATAATTTTAATATATATTTTAAGCCTTAAAAATATTCATATTATTTGATCCAGAAATTCCATTTCTAAATATTAACTAAGGAAATATGATATATGAAAAAACAAAAAGTGTTAAATACATTATTAGTAAATATCAAAAATGGAAATTCTGAACATTTTGCTTAAAATAATGCTCATGAGAATCATATATTTACATAGAAAAATGCAAATATTATAATGGTAAGGAAGAACATAAGAACATGAAATTAGATGAGATAACCATGTTAAAACTAAGGAGCTTGTAAAAGGCTGGAAGGAAAATGTCTGCAAAATATAGCATCTTATGTAGCTCAGGTACTGACATTAACTTACTCTGTGGTTTTGAATAAGAAATTTTATTTTTAGCTTGCTAAACTGTAAAACTAAAGGCTCTCACATTCTCAAATTATAATTAAAATTTTGAAATAATATTTCATATGTACTCATTATAGTGTAAAACTGGAATTTACTATTTTAACTAGATGACTTTTCAAGGTGTAAAACAGACTTTAAAAGCTCATTATTTTAAATAAAGAGTAACAACAAAGTTACTCTGGCTAAAGAAAGCATATTAGAAACATATGAAGGAGGTTTGGAAACTTTTGGGAATATGAAGAATGAATCTTTGGCTGTGAGTGGGAAACTCCAAAGATGAATAATGTAGTTGATGAATCTAATAATGATTGACTGAAAGATTTGTCAGTTAAGAGGTAATGATACAAAATTAATATCATAACAACTTTGGTGACAGATGGTAGCTAGATTTATCATGGTAATCACTCCTTAATGTATATGAATGTTGAATCACTATG